ACGCTGCGAGCCGCCTGCCAAAGCTTGCAAGTTGGAAAGTCTGGGAGCCGTGCTACGGTTTTCAAGCGTCTTGTTGAACGCCTTCGGCAGATGAAAGTTGCTGCGAGTGCTGCGGTTCATGCTGAGTCAATTCCTGAGGTGATTGTTCCGAGTCAGCCGGCCGAGCCGTCTCCCGAAGCTCGCCGCCAGCATGAAGCAACGCATTTACCCTACGCTCCGTGGTGCGAGGTGTGTGTTGCACACAAGGCCAGAGACAATGCGCATCATCCGACCGACCCTGCTGAGCGAATCCCAACTATCAGCTTTGATTTCGGCTTCTCAAGCCGTGATGACGATGGACGGCAAAAGCTGTGCTGTTTGTTCCTCCATGACTCCGTCACCGGCTGGAGGGAGGCAATAGCTGTTCCAGGAAAGGGTGGAGTCCATGGCGGCCTGCACGTGCAAGCATACTTGACCGCCGAAGTCTGCCGGCTGTTATCTTTTCTTGGGTATCGCAATGTGCGGCTGCGCTCTGATCCTGAACAGACTTGTCTTAGTCTTCAGCAAGAGATTGCCAAGGTCCGTCAGCGTGTCGGTCTGCGTACCGTCACCGGCCAAGTAGCTGAGGAAGATCATGCCGCGAATGGCGGGGCCGAGTCCACGGTTCATGTTCTGCGTGCCCAGGCTGGTACCATCTTGGCCGCGTTCGAACGGCGCACAAAGTCCAAGATCCTGACGAATCACCCGCTTTACTCTTGGGCTTACCGCCATGCGGCCTGGCTCGTCAACCGATTTTCGGTGCAAGCTGGGGGTATAACCTCCTACGAAGCGGCAATTGGAAGGCCATACAAAGGACCTGTTCTGCCATTCGCCGAGACATGCATGGTGCTTGTCAAGCAGGCTCCCAAGGGACAAGCCAGATTCCTTCAAGCTATGATGCTAGGGAAGCTTCCGTCTTCTGATCAGTGGGTGTCAGTGACTGCTGCCGGACGGCTCATGCTGAGTCGCACTGCGCGTAGGCTGTCTGAGTCCTTTGAGCCCCTAAGTCCCGACGTTCTTAAGGACCCCACTTGGAAGCATGGTTCCTTTCTCACTGGTGCCACCGGAAGGTCTAAGGTGCAGGGCCGCAAGCCCGCGATACCTCACGATGGAGTTGTGATCGAGCAAGCGCCTCCTCAAGCCGAGCCGGCTGTGCCTTACTCCGAGCTGCTTGAAAGTGAACCGATTGAAGGTGGTGTTGGTGCCATTGATCCTGGTGAGGTGCCGCCTCCCACTGCCGACGATGACAGTCTGTCGAGTGACTCTAACTCAAGCCAGTCAAATGCTTCGACGCCTGTGCTTCCTGCGAGCCCTGCTGGGCCGCTTTCTCGGGATGGTGCTCCCGACCTTGACGATCGTCCTTCAAAAGCTGCCCGAACTTCACCGCCCGGTGAACCTTCTGCTTCATCTGCACTGCCGCCTGTGGCGCTGGCAAATGTGCCACCCACATCTTCAGATGCAGCTTCTGCAGCCGCCCCAGAGGGCGATGATGAGGACATGTCAGGAAACCCAGATGCTAAGCGCGCCAGGGTTGCAAAGGTCACAGGTGTTGATGTTTGCGTTGGGGATGAAACCTTGACTTGCTATCACAGCGACGAATACCTCGCTGACTGCGCAGGTGACGTGCCTTTGTCAGATCAAGGTGATGATTTCAGTGACGATGAGTTTGGCAGTGATGATGAAAGCCAGCTGCCTCCCGAGTGCACTCCTCCGCTTGAGTTGTTCTTTCCGTTCAGCACCAGCGATCCACAGCTGACTGAGGATGAAATGGCAAGGCTGATCCATGTTGCTGACCAACATGAGATTTCCCGCCTCGAGCGTATGACAGTGTTGCAGCCACCCCTTGAAGGGGTCGAGTATAGCAAACTGTCAACTCGGTTTGTGCGAAGTTTCCGCCCAAAGCCTCATCCTGTTACTAAAGCTCCTTCGCTGTTGTTTCGATCACGACTTGTAGCTCGAGAGTACAAGAGATGCGATCCATTTCGGGAGGACCTGTATTCACCAGCCTCTCAAGCCATTCTGAATCGAGTGCTTCCGGCTCTGAGGCAGTCTTATGGTGCCGATGGCGCCATCTTGCTATCTGCTGACATTGCCGACGCCTACTTGACCGTCCCGCAGGACAAGCCAACTATAGTTACGTTAGGCTATGGGGTGTCTTATGCTTTGGGTTACATGTTGCCGGGACAACGTGCGGGTTCGAAAGGGTGGTTCAATGCCTTCACGACTTTTCTGGTTGATAATGCCGGTGCTGAGTTGTGGCGGGGCTGTGAGGCCCTTTACCGCTTGAAACCCCGTGATGGTGAGCACGACCCAGTGCCCAATGCGGGCATGTTGCATGTAGATGACACCTTGGCGTCAGGTTCGCGGAACCGGCTTGAAAGTGTTCTTGATGTGATCAAATCAAAATACAAAGTGTCAGCAGAGATGATGATCCAGGAAGGCGATGAGATCTCTTTCTTGAAACGGAAGCATGTGCTTTCGAGTGATGGTGTGCTGATTATCCGTCGTTCCACCAAGCATTTGAGCAAGCTTCTTGATATGCTGGGACTTCAGAATGCAGCCATCAAGCGTACCCCACTTCCTTCGTGGAGCAACGAGGACCTTCGTGATGACGGCGAGTCGTTGTCTTCAGCTGATCAAGCTACCTTCCGCAGTGCTGTAGGTGTGCTTATGTATATGAGCCAAGATTGCGGCGACTTGCAATTCGCCATTCGTCTGCTGTGCCAACACATGTCATCCCCGAGCAAGCGAGCCTTCGAGTTGCTGCGTCATGTTGCGCGGTATGCCAAGGGCACTTCAGGATATGCGCCATCGATGTCTCCCACGTCTCCGGGTGTTGGCATTCGTGCCCGAGCTTCGAGTGAAGGGTCTTCGCTTGTTGAGATCATGTCTGACTCTGACTGGGGTGCTTCAAAAGCAAACCGCCGATCTGTGAGCGGATGCGTGTGCTTGATTGATTCCAATGTGGTTGCAAGTTCCAGCCGCACCCAGAAGTCGATCAGCTTATCGTCATGTGAAGCCGAACTTCTGGCCTTGACGGCTGCCTGTGCTGAAGGGATCTTTCTTCGTGAAGCCGTGTCGTTCTGCACCCAGCGCCCTGCCGAATTGATAGTGTATACTGACAGTGCTTCCGCTCGCCAGTTCCTTGCCAGGCAAGGACTAGGACGATTGCGGCATCTTGATTTACGGCTGCTGTGGTTGCAGGACCTTGTGCGATCCCACCAATTGCGCTTGAGTGCTGTGCCAGGGCCAGAGAACTTAGCAGACTTACAGACGAAAGCTTTGAAAGCCGATCGTATCCGGTATCTGCTTCATGGGTTTAAGGTTCGTGATGAGGCCAACTCAGATGAGCTTGTTGGTGTTGCTGAAGCCACGGCAAATGAGGATCGTGCTGCAATCAGTTCCGCTGTGAGAGCGGTTCGCGCGTATCGAGGTCCCGCTTCAAAGCTGAGCCTCTTGCTTCAGGCGCTGACAATCGTTGATTCCTTTACAGCATGCGCGGCACAAGGCCGGGAAGACACCTTGAGCGGCTACGGCCTCCTCGGCTTTGCAGTTTTCGCAATCTTTTGCATGATCATGTGGATTGTCTTACGATTTTGCCGTGCACATGTGCCTGCTGATGAGATTCAGCCTGAGCTTGAGCCAGATGTGTCAGACCCTGGCGGGGACAGCAGCAGCGAGTCCTCTGATGTTCATGATGCCACCGCTGCCGGATCAAACGATGTGCTTGTGACGGCGATTGTGCCGGTGCCAAAGCAGGCCCCTGCCCTGCCTCCAGCGACCGTCACGGTGCGCCATGATCCGAATGATTTGTTTGTGTACTACACGCGGTATGGTGAGTGCATGCATTCTTTGAGAGATTGTCGTGGACTTCGCAGTGCCAATCGAATCTTCGGAGATCCGCTTCATGTTGTGCTTCGCGTACGGCCTGGACTGAGGCCTTGCATGTTCTGCGGAGGGCCAATCTACACTGTGCTTGAGCGCTTGCGTGCGCCTCCTCGTGTGGCTGTGCTTGAGCTCCCGCTTGGTGAGCCTGAACCCGATGGTCAGAGTGATGCCTCCGATCACTGAGTCGACAACATTCTTGATGTGTAATGCTCATGATGACTTGCATTCTTGAATGCGCGCCACGATGTTGCAATGCCCACACGACTTGCACAACGAACAGATACCTGTCAACACTCTTGCTTCATGCCAGCAGCGCTTGAAATGCTTGGGTCTCTTGACCTAATCCCTTAGAGCTGGTTTGATACCAGTTGTACGGTGGTTTAGCATAGTGCATGCTCAACTTGATGAGCCAGCAGCGCTTACTTGCTTGTGGCAGCAGACAAAACCACTTTGTGTTTAAAGGTATCCTTGAAAGACTCCGCTTGTGCGCTGACGCGCAGTCGTCAGCAGCTGCATAGGTCAGGCAGGTCCGTAGAGGTCAGTGTTTCACTGTGACCAAGTTGAAACCAACTTGGATGGAGATGCGGCCTGGACTGGGTTCGTCCCGCACGCCGGACGTAAAGACACTCTTGCGAGAGCGCTGCGAGTGCACATGTGAGTCAGCAGTTGCGAGGCGACATGTATAGATTTTGAGTTCATGCATCCCGAATCCCAAACATGCTTGTAGGCTTTTGTGTGCCGTGCAGTTTGGAAGGCCTCTTCTATGGCGATCACAAAGAAAGCATTCCTCTTTCCATGTGCCGAGAATGCTTTGGCGGGGTGTTTGTGATTGAGTGCACCTGTGGTGTACCAGTTTTGGGTGGTGGAGAAATGATTTCACTTTTCCCAATTTTATTTTTCGCATGTCTCATTTTCATGATGTGCTTTTAACCGTCGCCTTGCATTGTATGCTGATTCCGTGCATTCGTAGGTGTTTGAAGAATCAAGGAAAACATTCATTTTCGCTCGATACAGAATGCCTTCGCGAAGTTGCCTCCAGAGCGGTCGGAAGGGAGAGGGACTACAGTGCTTTGCCCGCTGTGCAAACAAAAGCATCAAAACTGAAGGATTCGGTAGTCATAAACAGCAGGATTTCCACAGGGCTTCACACTGGTCTTCCTCTCTTTGTCAGTTCTTGTGCTGGTTTCAGCACGTGTCCCGACCACTGAGATTGGCAAAAACACCTTCTTGGTAATCATGTCCCACCAAGGAGTGGGATCTTGCGGCTTAGTTAACACGTCACCAAGTTGGATTTCGCTAGGGATCCAAGCCAGTGGAAGCTTTTCGCTCCACTTCTCCGCCTTGAGAGCTTGTCGCAAGGCGGCCAAATCGACCGCTAGTCTGCGGTCCGAAGGAGTCCTCGGGACTCCTTGTCGGTGCAGGTGGTCAAACAGCGACCTGCAATCACTCAAACAAACGAGCGGCGTTTTGGCGTCCTCGACCTTGGTCATCTCCCCGCTGAGGATCGTCTCATAGCAGGCACGGATGTACTGTGCCCCTTCAAGCCCCTCAATGCAGGCTTGGGTCTCGGCGCTGAACGTGCTGCGGCAAACTCTCTGTCCTGCTCGGGACTTCCAGTCGAGGACCGACACGTAGCCGCCCCCTTTCGTGAAGCAGTCATCGGCTCCAAGAAGGATGAGCTCCCCAAGCTGGGAGGCAACCTTGGAGTTGTTCCGCTTCGCCTTTCGGCCCTTCTGATGCGACGGAGGTCCGTCGCGCTGCAAGCCAGCCTCGAGGTCCTCGGGGTAGAGCTTGAAGTCGTCCTCGTCAAACTCTCCTTCGTAGGCGTTCGCCCATGCTGCGTCGTGGTAGGTGAGGAACACGGCCTTGTCTTCGCTCACTGGTCGGAAGACCAGTCCACGCTGCTTGTGGTCCCCTGCTTTGGCGGCAGTGCTGTTGGTGAATTTCACGTCTCCGTACGTCGGGGCCTTCTGGAGTTGCTGCGACATGGAGACGGCGCATGTGATGTCTGGCCGGCTTTGCGCCGACACCCACGACAATGCCCCAATCAAACTTCTATTGTCCGCCAGCGCCTCAGCGTCGGCTGGGGCATCTTCAGATGCTCCTTTTGGGATGTTCACCGTGAAGAGCCGGCTCTCCACGTAGGACTGCTGGTTCAGGTAGGCGCCGTTCTCGTCATAGCTGATCTCGGTCCCCACATAGGAGAAAGCCCGCTCTTCCCAGGAATCCACCGGGAAAGTTCGAGATAGGGCCTCGCATATCGCCTTCTTGACGCTGCGCGGGGCGACCACCAACAAGTCGTCCACGTGAGTGCCGACGTAACCGATGGGCTTCCCAACAAACTTCTCGTCGCGAAACTCCCTGAGGGCAAAGATGCACGGGTCCATCGGGCACGGTCGAACTTGTAGAGCTTGCCTTCAATCTCAATCTCGATCCCCTTGATCCCGCCTTGGAGGTCCAGCCACCACCCGTGCGGTGAGGTAGCCAGCCCGAAAACATTCTTTTTGACCCGCACCAGTTGATCGGGATGTAGTCCAGCAAAACCTGTGGACGGCTGGTGCAGCAGATACAACTCTTGGTCTCGTTGTAGATATCCGCCGTTGAGGAAAGCACATCGAATGTCTCCTGCAGCGGCCTCCCAAGGGTCGGTGTTCTGCACGCCATTGGCCAACACTTGGAGCAGGCATAATAGTCCCGGCCTTGAAAGAGTGGGAGCGTCGGTGGTGATCCCAGCCACCCCCAAGTCCGGATCTTGGTGTCCGGCTATTACAAGCCGAGACTTGCACTTCCACGGGAGGTCCTCACCCTGCTTCCGCTTGGCCCAATTCTTGTCCTTGTACGCCCATCTTGAGCGCAAGATTCTGTCTGGCGAAACTTCTCGTCGAACTCGGTTGCTCTCGTCAATGTCGAGGGGCTCCAAGGCATCATAGGACAGGTGCTCCTCCCATTGCTGGGCTTCAGCTTCTTTGAACTTCTCTTTGACGTCGTCCGGTATCTCGGCCCACCGGAGCTCCTTCTCCTGTCGCTTTTCCACGCCGTGCTGCGTGAGGTCGCGCTTCATCATGAAGACTTCGGCTTCCCCGTCCTGCGGGGGTGGCCTCCTCCTTGCGATGGTCCCGGCATTCTCCCCTTCAGTAGGGTTGGTCTTCCGCTTCAGCCTTCGCACGGGGGCAGGTAGTAGCTCTCCACCGTCTTCATGATCCAGCTCCATGTCGCTCATTTCCGGCAACTCGACGGGGTGATCGACCCCTTCGTGGTCACTGGGCCAATAGTCGGAGAGGTGGTCATCGGCGGCCATGTCGGCATCGGGCTCCTCAAAGTCAAAGGTCTCTTCCGCGTCGAAGTCAGCTTGTACAAGCTTCTCAACTTCTTGTTGTGCACCTTTGAGTCGAAAGAACTCCCCAACCTCTTCTGGTCCAGAAGGCCGGAGGTGCTCTGGCGCCGTGAGCCGACAACGTCCTCCTCTGGAGATCCAATAGTTATCTCCTTCACGCCCGACCACAACTGCCGGTCCGGCCCATCGTCCTCTGCGACGGTCCTTCGGCTTGAACCAGTAGTGCACCGGCTCACCGTGGTCGAATGGCCTCGTAGTAGATCTCGCACGATGAAGAAGAGCCTTTCGAAACCTTGAATCGGCCTCAGAATGGTGGAAGGCGACCTTCGCGGAAGCCCTGATCGCTTGGGCTCGCTGGAACTTGGCGTCCTCGGAGAGCTCCCAACTCACACGTTGCCCGGATTCGGGGTCTAGGAGCTGTTCTGGAGTCCTTGGCTGCCTGCCAAAAACCCACTCGACAGGGCTGTGGCCGTTGAGACCAAGGTGGCAGCCAGCTCAATCTCCGCCTCGACAATCGTCATCTCATGGCAAACCCGATCCCAAATGTTCTTCCACCAGGCGCCTTGGCGCTCGGTGATGCCGGCCTGCCAGTGAGCTTGAGTGCCAACGTTCTTCACGGTGATGGAATGCCAGTCGCACAACCTTCGAAGCCCTTTCTGCACCCCGCCCTCTAGGTCGACTGACACCGTAGACGGCGGCCCGAACGGGGTCACCCAGTGGTTGTTGAAGACCTCCTCAATGTCCTCGGCGGAGTGCCCGTAGAGCGGGACCACGATGTGGTAGGAAGTCCCCCAATCCACCATAGAGAGGAAACTCCACTTCTGGTCGTCAGCGTCGTGGTGGTAGAGAATGTCAACTCCGACGCAGTCATTGAAGTCCAGCATTCTTGGCATAGCGGTGCTGTTGAAAGGCAGGTTTCACATCGCATCCCTTTAGCCGCTTTCAAGATTTCCTCGCTGCAACCGGCTAGTCGTAGATGTCGAACAAGGTCCTCGGTCCGCGGGTGTCCGAGGTTCTGGTGTAGCCGTCGCAAAGCGCTCTGAAGTCCAGGGGCGACACCTTTCTCAAAGGAAATTCCACTTCCGTCCATTCGCAGAGGTCGTTGTGGTAGTTCAGGTTGATCAACAGCGTGAACCTCATAGGGTCGCGGGACCGTGTTGTTGCGGTCGTAGTGCCCTCTTCTCTTCCCGAAGATTCCCCATTGGTCACCGTGAACATCACAATGAACGTACTTCTGGTAGTCGGCGAACCTCTCCTTGAACTTTTCAATGTCGTCGCCTCGGACCACAACGTCCCCTCCTCCAGTGATCTGATCCCGGGACAACTCGACAACCACATCGAAAAGGTGTTCCGGCATGCGGCCAAGGTTGATGCGCAACTCGTTGGGGGTGATGCCCTGCACAATGTCGAAAGCGTTGCTGACCTTGTCCGGGTCGTCGAACTCTTCCCACCCCATTGGCTCCATGACAGACTTGTCGAGCTCGACCGCCTCATAGGTGGCATCGGTGCCTCCCAGCTCAAAAATGACAATGGGGTCGTGCACCGCATGGGGTAGAGCTTCTGTCAAGAACGAGGAAGCGGCGGAAATCATCGTCGAAAGGAGCAAGGTCAGCTTCACCGCGGAATGGGCAAGGGACTTCCTGATGGATTTCTTGGGCAGCTTCTGGCCTCTTTCTGTAGACGTGCCCTCGACCTTGGCCCGAGCCCTGGGAACCGAGCAACCAACTTTCTTGAGGTAGTCGACGATCTCTTTCCCGACCTTGGGTAGCCCGCGGGTGGTATAGAGTAAGTGACCAACGGTGGCCTTCCCACTCGGAAACACAGTGCTTGAGGTGAGGGTCGAAGGACACGAACTTGTGGTAGGTGTCGTGGTACATGCCCGGTAGCCAGCTCTTGTCCTTTGTCCTTTTCCACACGACGCCTTCTTGGTGGCATTGGTCTTCATCAAGGTCGCGATCTTCAAGCCAAAGAAAACCACCCTTCTTTTGGCCGAAGCTGCAGCTGTGGTTCAGAGCACCGGGCAAGTTGTTGAAGTCGTGATGGATCCCGGTCTTCACGTCGCGGCTGAGGGTAAAAGAGGTCCAGGTCGCGCCGGTGCCAAGGTGGTGCCTGGCAAACGCATTCACGTACCTGCAGAGGTGCGACTTCTCGATGGTGAGCTTGGTGATGCCTTGGATGCCGCCGTGAGTGAACAGGCCGAAGGTGTAATAGCCGAGGTCCTTTGCTCCGTCCTCATCGGCGAAGCTTACACCACGGTCATTGCGTCTCGGCTTGAAGTCGGCGGCAGTCAAAACCATCATAAGCTTGTCGTAGGTAAAGTCCCCGCTGCGGTAGGCTTCCTTGGCGACCGCTTCTCCATTGCTCATCCCTTCGACCCCGCCCTTGTGGTCGTCGACCGCGTAGACGGAGGCCTGCGTGTAGTTGCCGCGCACAAAGTCAGTCTCCCATACCACGCCACTTCCGAGGACCGCGGGGTCCCCACAGCAGACACCTTCCGTCCTCTTCACTTGCCCGACTTGGTTCGGGCTTTGTCCTTGAGGAGGGCCAAGCGGGTCTCCAGCTTCTCGATCTCGGCAAGCGTGTCCGCATCCGGCTCGTCGTCCATGTCCTTCTCGAGGTAGGCGGAGTCCGTCTCCACGGTGGGCCGCTTCGGCCGATCGCGAGTCGGCCTCTCCCCCATGTTCACTGCCCTCGTCGGCAGGTTCTCCTCCCAAACTCCTCGCCACGAGGACCCTGCCGAGCTCTCCGTTCTCGGGTACGGTCCTGCAAGACTGCTCCCGACATCGCTGCTGGCCCTTGTTCTCGCGCTGCTTGTTCTCGAACCAGCGGGCGAACCTGATCAACTCGTCGTCCGCATTCCCCAGATGCCATATTGGTGTGGGATCTCCCGGAATTCCCGACCGCGGTAGCGGCCTATCTTCATCAGTTCGTTGTCCGGGGTGTTGAGCGAGTCCCTCACGAGGCGCAGAAGGTTGCCCTTGGTGATCGTCGCCGGGAAGTCTATGTCGAGGGACTGGGCCTTCTTCTTCAACTCCGGGAGAGTGAGCTGGCTCACCTTCTTCATCGCAACGGTGGCGTCCTTCTCGTTCTGCGCCACCCGGTGTTCCATGATGATGGCCTTGATCTCCTCTGGGGACCACGACTTGTGCACCGTCAGTCCCAAGCGCAGGGCCTCCTCGAGGAGCTGGGTCTTCGTCATCTTGCTGATGGCCACCTGCTGCTCGCATCCCGGTGCTTCCATGGAGGCGCGGCGAGGGCGAAAGGGTATTCGAAGGCGGTGGTCGCTTGTTCAAGACTGTTCTTCCGATCCAGAGTAGCGGCAAAGTTGATTCAGACGTTGCGCTCTGGCTCCAAGTGTCAATCACATCTTCTAGCCAGCGTTCAGAGGAGCAACAAACTGCTTCAGTGACCCTAATCTCACCAAGGCTGCTCAACAACATCTGCTTCTGAAGAGTAGCCGATGACCCCCACATAGCTGGATTAAACATGGACCTCCTTGGAGTAAGATGAATCCTTATCCAGGAACATTCCGTTTCAATTTAAAAGTCACCGACAACGCTTCCACCATGACATGAAGGCTTCACGAGGCAATCGGCATTGAGTAAGCATGCTCTTCACTGCAGGGTCTAACTTCTTGTCGTGGTAGATGTTGTACATGTGTTCAACCCTACTGTTGAAACCCACGGCAAACGCTGTGTATGGCTCACGCGACTCGAGCCTGGGCTCCTCCACAGGCAGGACGGAATCTTTCCCGCCGTCAACGACTACTGGAATGATCGGAATGGCCGGGTGGCCAGAAGCCGTCGACATCAACTCAAATCCGCTCAAGCCGACCTTTGTGAAGTCGGCGGTGCCCTGCTCGATGTCGTAAATCATGCCTAGCTTGCTGAGGACTGTTCTGGAAACCGACAATGGAATATCGCCGTTGATCACTGAGGTGCGAAGACGAACAACCTTTTGCGCAAGTACGAAGCTGATGACAACATAGAAGGAGGAATACATTATCTTGCCGGTTCCAAACCTGTAAGCTTCACATTCTCGAAGAAGACACGGCTTAGGGGCATCAGGGGGCAACTTGTCAATGTAGTCCTGTACCCACTGAGTCCCTGCAACCGTCCTCGCAGAGGCTGTGTCGGCAATGGCAAGAAGATGATCCCCGCCTCCAACATGACGAAGAGCAAGAACCTGGGCAGGCATGATATTGCACATCTTCACGTCCTTCGGGCCGTCGGCGGACGCTCCACTGTTGTTGTTGGGGCACTCCTTATCTTTATGCCAGTGGCCCTTTTTACCACAGCTCGAGCAGAAAGAGCGCGACTTCATCAAGCGGATCTTCTCGTCCCGGGCGCTGGACTCATCTCCGCGCCCTTGCTTGCCGGCAGTGTTGCCCGAGGTGCCCGCCTCGGCGTTCCCATGGCCTTGGTAGCCGCGATTTCTCACCTGGTCGCGGTAGCGATTCTTTGCACTTTGGTAGGTGACGTAGGCGACCGCGACCTCCTCCGGGATGTCGTCCAAGTTCTCGAGGTCGTCTCCACTGAGCTCGCAGTCATCATCCGCGTTGTCCGTCACGCATCCATCATGCGTGCGTGAATGGGTTTTATTTTCCGCCGAAAGTGTAGACAAAGTTTGTCGAAAAAGGAAAACAGTGTTTTCACTTGTGTGTGAGTGACACTAGACAAACTTTGCCGTGCAGCTTTCGGCTTGGAGTTGGATCTGTGATCCAAAAAGTTTTTGTAGAGTAGCTTGTAGTGCTCCGCAGTAGTGGGGGTCGTCAGCGACGACTTTCCACTCCCTTTGATATAACTGTCAGTGGCAGTTATGGTTGATCAAGCAGCCCGCACCTATGCGGCTGAGTCGCCAGAGGCGCCGTACCCTAGAAGGGACGGTCGAGAGAATCAGTTGGCAGCGCCACAATGCCTGCAACGCGTGCGACAGTGTCGCTCCTGCCTCCGTTTTTTGCAGTGCAATCCAATTTTCGTGCTAGAGCAGGCCATGCGTGAAGAGATGGCACAACAGGAGATAAGTTATCTCCTCTGGGCCATTAGCTGTGCCATGCGGGTAGACCCCGCGGTCGTCAGCGACGACCATGAATCTCTGAACCGCGCAGGGGAAGGGGAGTCCAAAGTTTGGCCTCCCTTTTACCCTTTCGCGCAGATGCAAGGGGAACAACCGGACACCTCAGGCAGTGCCTATCCGATGCACCGGTATACGATGTCGCAGCGCGACGTGCCTATGCGGCCAGCGGCCACACCTGGCTGGCCGTATACCGGCCTTTTTGACTGGCCCCCCAGTGGGGAGGAGGACAATGTCCCCAAACTCCAGTGGAGACTTAATTGGGTGGACGCCCTAGAGGGCCACGTGGCCACCAAGGTGGAAGCCAGCGGCTTCCATTGGCACCCAGAGGGTAAGGGCAAAGGCAAGGGTGGTTGGGTCAAGATCCTCCCTTCGGAGAAGAAAAAGAAGAAGACTCACAAAGTTGCCAGCGGCAGCACCGACCCCACCGCCTCGTCCAGCACCGCTCTGCCGACAGCGTCGGCATCGGCCTCGGACCCTCCCTTACCGCCGCCAGCGGCCGCTCCTGCTAAGCCCGCTGCGGCCACAACAGGCAGCCCGCCCGCAGCCGAAGCTGCCGACGTCGCTCCGCCAGAGGCGGAGCCTGCCATTGAAGTTATCGATACTGACAGTGATCAGAACTCGGGAGATTCCGAGGTATCCCTGGCTAGCAGCCAGGCCGCAACGGCAGTGCCGTTTGCGCCCAACGCGAACACTGTGGTCGTGTCCCGACCGCAGCGTCGCAATCGCCAGCGAGGCTGGCAGTTCCAGCCTGGGGAGGACCCCCAAAATAACGATTGGCGCAACCTCGGGTCAGCGACCGACAACAGGTACCCTGGCCTCCGTGCGTTAGTAACGCACGCCAGGAGGGTTTCTCCGCAGTTGCACGTCACAGACGTGCACGAATGGCCCTATTGGGCACAACCCAACTCAGAGAGATGGGATAGGTACCCGGAGAGGCGAGGCGACCTCATGTGTTGCATGCCCTGCGCGCAGCAGGGCTGCATCTCCCAGGGTATGGCGATTTGTGGGCGGCACTGCTCAGTGGGCAGGAGCCCCCACAATCACCACGAATGCGACAACTGCTACCGCAGCAGCCGGGGTCAGCGACCCCGAAACCGCGGCGTCAGGGGCGGCCGCCGTTAGGCTCGGAGCGCAGCGCGTAGCTGCTGGCTTCTCAGTGAGTCGCCCCCCTCACTTTTGGTGCAGTGCACCTCTTTTTGGTTCACCGCCGACAGCTCGGCAGCCTCTGCAGGGCGGGCGTCTCCGAGGCTTTTGGAACCTCGCCCACAGCGGCGGGCCGACGGCATAATTTGAAATGCGGCAAAAGTTTGCCGCTCACCTTTTTCAGTCGTGTGTCACGCGAGCCTGGTAGGTCTCTTCAGCTGAGTCAGCTCTTTAAACCGTGTCGGTTTTCAAGCAGTGCTTTTCTACCGCAGCCTTTTCAGCTTAGTAAGTCGCCCCCTTCGTGCCTACAGCAAACAGCCTTTGTATGCTATCAGCGATGGCGAACCCGACGAACGAGCAGATGCTGCAAGCGCTCAGTGCAGTGCCGGAGGCCCAGAGGGCCGCCATCTACGAGGCCGCCGTCTCCCTATCAGAGATAGGGGACGTGGTGGTGAATGCGGTTTCTTCCGACGGCCACCGCAGCGCGGTGGCAAACTCGCCTCCCACGTCGGCCGCAGCGCCGGCCTCGCAGCACCGCTCCCCGACCAGCCCCGCTGAGGAAGCGGGCTCGGGCATCAAAGAAGAACCGCTTCCAGCGGAAGCTCCCTCGGCAGCGCCGGAGGATATGGATGTGGAGGAGCCCAGCGGGCGGCGGGACGAAACCGAAGACGACCAAGGCTCCCGCTCGGAAGAGTCGGAGTCGGAGAGCGACTCCCCGCCACCGCCAGCGCAGCCGCACCCTCCCCTTGAGGGCAAGGTGGCGCGCAAGTCCTCCAGCCCGGCAGTGCCGGCAGCCGACAGGAATCAGGCGCCAGCGGCGCCCGCGAAGGCCGCCGCCCCACGCCAGAACAAGCGGCCTCCCCCACCGCCAGTGGCGCGTCGTGGGGAGAGCTCTCGCCCGCGTCCCTGTCAGCAGCCCCCGCGCAACAACCCAGCTGGCGTCGCGGGGACCCGGGTCAGCGGCCCGGCATCAGACGACAACACTGATCGAGACGATCAGGAAGCTCGCCCGCCAGCGGCGGAGCGTCCCCGAGCGGGGGAGATTCAGCGAGTCTTCGCATGTTCAGTCTGCGACAACATGCAGATGAACATCTGGAGCGATCCGTCGTCGGAATTCGTATGCAGTGCATGCGGAGAGCTCCACCCCTTCGTGGCTGCAGTGCATGCCTACGATCAGCCAAGCGCCAGTGGCGCTGTGGGACAGTTTTCCCACGAGCGTCGCAGCAAGGCCTGGCAGTGTCCAGAATGCGGCGTGATGCATTGCACACGCTGCGCGAAAAACTACTCTTGCCCAGGCACTGTCCCGCGGACAGACGGCAAGCTCGAGTACAGGGGCGAGCGCCGCCCTACTAGGGGGCCGCCCGAGTCCCTTCGGCTGACCTTGCAGCGCGAGGCAGCCGAAGCCCGTGAGCGCGAGCACCGCGAACGGGAGGCCCGCCGCAGAGACGGCAAGGGCAAAGGCAAAGGCAAGGACCAGAGGTCCCGCCGTGACGACGAGGACCGGGACCAGTGGTCCCGTGGTCGCTGGTCTTGGGACCACGACCGGCGCTGGAACCATCGCGAATGGTAGATACGCCAGCGGCGTAATCCAGTGCATTCCGAACAGTGTTCGGATAAAATTTTTGACGGGCCAGTGGCCCTTCCGTCTGCGCCCGTTTCACACAGGTGCAGAGCACAGCAGTGCCGGCACAGTCCGGCCACAAGAGCCTTCGCCGCTCACCGGCCTGTCTGCGGATCGCAGAAGGCAGGTGCAGCGCACCTCGACAACCGGGCTCCGCCCAGAAACTCGCACCGCGAGGTTGGTAAAAAGAACACCGCAGGTTGCGTGTGCACACAGACCTTGTAGGACTGCAGCTTCTTTTGCCTAGTAGGTTTCTTTTGCCTAGTAGGTTTTTACGCAGTGCCCCGAGACCTGGTAGGTCCTCAGGAGGTAACTCTAGGTGCAGTGTCACCATCAGAGCCTGAGCTCTTCAGTGCGTGCTTGCCGCAGCCTTTTAAGCCTCACTCTTCCCAGCTCTCTTTTCCTCCTCTCCTCCCTCAGGACTGCATGGGGAGGGTGCGGGTCGCAGCGCGTCGCTTGAGTAGAGCTTTCCAGAGTGAGTGCACTTGTGTTCGTGTGCTGGTAGCCCTTTCCTGAAAGCCACCTGGACAACAGCCGTTGGCTTGAGCAGTGCTCCCCTTCCTTGTGTCAAGGATGCTGCCCAGGGGCAGCGCCCCAGAGGGCGACTTCAACGACCAGGTTAGTAACCTTTGGTCGTCCATACCACGCCGAGCCGGTGCTCGTCAGCCGTGGGAATCAGCTTCATGGTTTGCGCGTAATGCAAGCTGGCCCTGGGAGCTGTCAGTGACTCGCCCCGCCTCCGTGGGCCCCGTGCCAGTGTTGCACGAGTCAAGCCTGATGCTTAAGCGGAAAGCTTCCGCTAGCACCCAGCCGCTAGTAGCGGAAGACACGGCCTTCGCACTTAAGGTCTGCTGCCGTCGTACAGCGTACGAAGGCGACCGCCGCGACAGCGCGGTTTTCAAACTGACGGCCTTGGTAAAAGCCTGGCCAGAGGCCTTCGAGATCGTCTCACAGTGTGCTGACGAAGCCGGTTGCGTCGACCTGGACGAGCTCGACTTCAGCATAGAGGCAGCGCTCAGCTACAAAGCCACCAATACAGTGGTTCGTCGCCTAAACTCCCTCAGCAATTTTGTCCAGTGGGCAAACTCCCAAGACCCAGTGGTGGTGCCCTTCCCAGTGTCAGAGCGCGCCACCTGGCGATACATCCAGTGGATGATGAGAAATGGGAAAGGGGCTAGCAGCCCCTCGAGCCTGATTCAGAGTCTGAACTGGTGCTCGGGAGTTTTCGGTCTTTCCTTCGAGTCGGAGGTGACCAGCTCCCGTATCGTGGGCCTTTGTAAGAGCACGGAAGCCAGCGCGCCTCCGCCGAGACGGGCCCCCGCCCTTAAGGCCTCGGAGGTAGCTACCCTCGAGCGCATCGCGCTGTCTGGCTCTGTGTACGACAGTGTCGTGTCTGGGGGCTTGTTGTTCATGCTCTTTGCATGCGCCCGTGCCAGTGACGCGGCCCGAGTTGCCTCCTTTTCGGTTGAGCTTCCAGAGGACCCCTGCGCCACAGTGTGGATGCAGGCGAATGTTCACAAAGCGAAAACCGCCGTAGGGGCTAGAAGTCGTCTACTGCTCCCGCTGGTAGCCCCGGTGGTTTTCTTCGAAGAGTCGTGGGTGAGTCAGTGGCTCGCAAATCGAGAAAAGTTGGGCCTCAGCTCCAGCGGAGAAATCCCGCTCGGGTCAGAGATCCCTGCCTTCACATCGGATGGTGATCTAGCAGATCGCCCGATGAATTCTCAAGAGATAACTTCCTGGCTGCGCAGCGCGCTGTCGAACGCCGGCTGCGAAGACGCAGAGCACCTTAGCAGTCACAGTCTCAAAGCGACTTGCCTCACATGGGCCTCGCAAGCTGGCGTCAACCTGGATCTGCGCAGGCTCCTCGCCCACCATGTGCACGACAGTGCTCGGAGCACCGAGACGTACAGCCGTAACGTGCTCATTCCCGCAGCGCGGGCTCTGGAGGAAGTTCTCATTGCCATCAGAGATGGCGACTTCCTTCCCGACCAGCCGCTCGGGAAACAGTTCGCGCTGCCCAGCAGCCAGCTCAACCTGAGGCGAGAGAACCTTAGCAAGGTTTCTCACAGGAAAACCTCCTCTGGCTCGGCACCCCCAGTGGGGGTGGAAGCCCTGAAGGTTTCGCAACAACAGGAGCTCAGCGACACGGAGGACAGTGCCAGTGACACTGACAGAGAAGACGAGTTCGTCGCCGAGCCCGAGGTAGAGGAGCACCCTCGACTCAGAAGGGAGGTGCAGTGCACTCTCCCAGACTGGGCCTTTTCGTGGTGTCATCTTGCCAGTGGCAAGCTCCACGCGAGTCGCGGTGAGAATGCCAAGAGGCTTCTCTGCGGTCGCTGTTTGAATGAAAAGTATAAGAGTTGCGAAGTTCGCGACCTGGCCCCGGGCCGACCGCACTGCAAGACTTGCTGGAGCAGCAAGTCTTTCGATGCAGAGTGAAAAGAGAGCGAGTTCATGTGCCTGTCTGTCCTAGTAGGGTCCCGCAGTCTGCACAGTGTTTGCGTCTCTCTCTCTCTCTGTTTTCTTCTCTTGCCCTGCAGGACAATGGCGAACCTCGTCGACAGTGTCGCGGAATTCTCCAGCAGAGCTGGACAACTCCTAGGAGCCGCCGAGTCGGCGAAGCTCCTTGCGGCAGACATCCGCACTTTCGGCACGCTCGCTTACAGCGTCGCCGACCAACCCGATCGCATCAGCGATGCGAAGTTTGAAGAACTCATCAAGAAGGTCTTCGGGGCGGCAGAGCCGACCTTAGGCACCAAGGCCGCAGCGCGGCGCCTGGCCTTCGAAAGCCTCACCTTCAGTATCCAGGATCTGAAGATGAGGGTCGAGGGTGACAGCGTCACCCCCAAGAGCTTGCCCCTGCACGAGCGCGAGGAGCGCCGAGCCGCGCAAGTCGCGCGCCTCAAGGGCGTCGTCATCGAAGGTGACTACGACCCCGCGAATAGCCTCGTGGACAAGGCCGCGCTCATGCTGCAGGACGGCATCGTCCGTTACATCCCACCGTCGCAGTGCGTCAGCCGGAATGCCGAGATCGCCTCAGTGAGGCGTGACAAGGACTTCCTCTCCCTAGAGTCTGGGGAGATCACGGTAAAGAAAAAAGAGCACAGCGTGCACGTGGAGATCGGCAATGAGCTAAAGCTCACGCAGGCGCTAACGCGCAGAGGTCTCGCGCTCGACAGAGTCGGC